AGAAAATAGTGAACCAGCAGTTAGCGTAATGGCTATGTCGCTGGACTCCCACGTAGTCGACTGCGGTTCATGTCCCGGACCCGGTGGCTTAAAACTCACGCCGGGTGCGTGTGCGTGCGTGCCCAAGATCCCGAGAGGAGAATGGAGGAGAAGGGATTGCGGCGTGACCATCCCCCCTGGGGGGTGATTTCTCGCTTTCTGTCTCTATGTCTCTCTCTGTCTGTCTGGCGAGCGCATGCGCCCTACAGTGAAAATCTCTCCAAAAAATAAAATATATAAAAAAAAAGAAATTTAGAAAATAAAGATAAGCAAAAAAAGTAAATGAAATTTATAATCCTACTATCCTAGGAATGATGAGGAATATAATATTTGATCTTTTATGCATGTGTGTGTTTGTTTGTTACAATTTTTAATGTGGAAAAATGGAATGAAAGTACAGTTGTCCATTGATATCCATGAAGAATTTGTTCAGGACACCTCCTGTACCTCCATCTCCTGCAGATATTCAAATCTGAGGATGAGTAGGTCCTTTATGTAAAATAATGTAGTGTTTGCATGTAACCTATGCACATTTTCCTGTATACATAATATTTATTTATTTATTTATTTTAGATCATGCTAAACTTTTAAAAAAGGAATTATTTGTTCAATTTTATTTATTTTTATTTTTATTTTATTTGTCGAGAGAGAGAGAGAGAGGGAGAGAGAAAGCTGCCAGGGCCAAGACTTGAACTACAGTCAGCCATGTGGGAGTCCAGCAATCCAAGCAATCCAACCACCATGCCACCTGCTGGTCTCTGTCCTATATACTTTAAATCATCTCTAGATTATTTATAATACCTAACACAATGGGGCCAGCAGGTGGCATGGTGGTTAAAGCAGTTGGACTCACGCATGGCTGACCACGGTTCAAGTCCCAGTCCTGGCAGCTTGCTTTCTCATTTTCCTTCTCTCTCATTGTCTCTCTCTAGTCAACTTAAAAAATAATAATAATGACAACAAATAAAATTAAATAAAATAATTATTTAAAAAGATACCTAACACAGGGACCAGCAGTTGGCATAATGGCAATGTCACTGGATTCCCATGTTAATCAACTGCAGTTCAAGTCCTGGACCCAGTGACTTAAATTCACGCTGGGAGTGTGTGTGTGTGCCCAGGATCCCAAGAGGAGAATGGAGGATAAGGGACTGCATTGTGGCCATCCCCCCAGGGGTGATTTCTCGCTTTCTGTCTCTCTGTCTCTCTCTGTCTTTCTGGTGAGCGTACGCACCCTATAGCAAAAACCTCTCAAAAAAAAAAAAAAAGATACCTAACACGATGTAAATGTTATGTAGATAGTTGTTATACTGTATTGTTTAGGGAATGCAAGAAAAATATTCTGTGCATGTTTAGCACAGTACAACCATCATAGGCCTAACTATTTTTTTTAAAAAAAAGAATGATTTTATTTAACTTTCTTTTTAAATTTATTTTGATTTAACTAGAGAGGGACAGAGCAAGAATGAGAGAAAGTGAGAAAGCAAACCGTCAGGTTTGGGACTCAAACTGCTGTTGACCATGTAGGAATACAGTGCCCTTAACCACCACTCCACCTGTTGGCCCCATTGATAACATTTTTGATTTGAGGTTGGTTGACTCTGTAGAATCCTTGGATATGAAGGGTCAACTGTGTACTCAATCTTGCACTGTTCTATACCCTGCTCTTTTTACTAACCAATATACCCTGGACATATAGATTAGATGTTATAGCGTTCAGAATGACTATTCAGATGTTTCTCTGTGGCTTACATTAATGATTCTCTGTTGAAAATTCCTCATCTTCCATCTTTGACATCTAGTTATTTATAATACTTTCAGGTGGCTGAAGTTTGAAGAAGATGTTGAAGATGGGGGAGAACGCTGGAGCAAGCCATATGTGGCAACCCTCTCATTGCACAGCCTCTTTGAGCTAAGGAGTTGCCTTATTAATGGAACAGTCCTTCTGGACATGCGTGCCAATAGCATAGAAGAAATTTCAGGTAATAGTAAGTGAGGGAAAACAGAAATTTTGCATAAATTACAAAGTGTGTGGCCACCCTTGTGACCTAGTGGTTAAGGGAACTAGATCCCACATGGCCGATGGGGCGATTTGAGTCCCAGACTCCATGACTTGAAAAATATGTCAGATGTGTATGTCTGAATGTTTCAAATCTGACGGGATGGAGAGATGGAGGAGAGGGGATTGCAGTGTGACTATGCCCAACGGGGAGTGCTTTTGTCCCACTCACTGGCAAATTTCCAAAAAATGAACTCCCTGGGAAATTTCCAAAAGATGAACAAGTACAATATAAAAGGGAGAATAAAGTGGCTGTGTGTCCTTAGGCAAGTCATCGCCTTCCCTATGTCAATATCCTCAACTGTGGGATGGGTTTCAAAATAGTAAACTACTTATTTTATAAGCTTATTCTGGGATTTAAATGACAATGTTTAGTCTTCCACTTGCCTGTTTATTTATCAAACATTTACTTTGTATATACTGAATGCCTGATAATGTGCTAGGCACAGAGGAACAAGGATAAGATTCAGTTTCTCCCTTCAAGGACTTCTTCCAGAAGGGATAGTAATCACTGAAACCACAATTAAAATAAATGCAACAACAGAGATGTGCTTGATCATAATCAAAGAAAGGAGCAGCTGAGAATTGTACAGTGGAAAAAAAGTTAAAGGAAATTTAAGATTTTAAAATGACATGCAGAAAATTGAGCCAAAGTATCCCCACTTTTTCCCCAGTACATTAAGGGGAAATGTCTGACTGAGTTTGGGGAATAGAGTAGGAGAAAACTATGTGAGGACTTTTCCTTTGGATTGGCTCTGGTTACCTAGAAAAGTTAAATAAAGATTTAACCTCCAAATCCTTCTCCATTCCAAGTATCCAAGTAATTCTTCCCCTGTGGGATTACTTGGGGACTCAGGGGAGGAGTCAGCCCTGCTGGGATTCTGTGTCTCCCCTCCTTTCTGAGTTGCTCCAGAAGCACCACTTTGGCTGCCTGGTAAAAATGGAACTCTCAAGTTCCCATTAGGGTCATATCCATACTTGCTAACTTTTGGGCTATGTGTCTGAAATCCTATGAAAGTCCTTTAAACATTTTGTGTTAGGTACAAGAAAACCTGAGAGTTGATGAAGCTGCTTATAACTGTGTGAACAGTGGGGAGCAACTGAAGAATTTTTGATTGATCCGTTTTGTGTTTTAGAAAGATAACAATCACAACAATATGGAGGGCGAAGATGGGAGATAGGAGTGAGCCTATAGCTGTAGTTCCGTGAGATGTTACCTGCACTAAGGGCAGTAGCTGTGGGGGATAAATGAAATGAAGGTCTACCTTGAAGACCAAAAGAATATCCTGACAGTTTGGGAACCACCACCTTAAACATTAATTAGCCTCCTCATACTTTACATTCATATGTCATTTTAGGACTAATAAATGTTTTCTTACACTATTTGACTTGAACCTTGCAAAAACCCTGTAAGGTAGATAAGACAGATCATATTAGTCCCACTTTTAAATAATAAAGCAACTGAGATCCAGAAAGGTGGAGTTGGCTTGCCTAGGACCTCAGAGCTTGGGGAATTTTGTAACATTTGGACCTCAGTTTCCTTATCTGTAAAAATTGTTTTAATAATACAACTTAGGGCTTTTATAAGAATTAGATTAGACAACATATGTAAAGTTCATAGTATAATTCCTGGCACAAATCAAGTACTCAATAGTTTCTTTTCCTAATAATTCATTGTATCAGTAAAGTATAGCTTTTCACAGCCACTGTTGTCAAATAGCTCTTTCAGACAGTGAAGCTGAACTTGTACTTGAGTGATACTAGTGGAGCTGCTTCCTCCTACTCCTGGCCCCTCGCCCTTGCCTCACCTGATATTGACCTCCTAGGGTTCATCAACCCTTAGTTTGAGTTTTTATGTGAATACTTATTTAACAGATCTGATTCTGGACCAGCAAGAACTGTTCAGTGACCTGAATGACAGCATGCGGGTTAAAGTGCGGGAAGCCCTTCTCAAAAAGCATCATCACCAGAATGAAAAGAAGAGAAACAACCTCATTCCCATTGTTCGTTCCTTTGCTGAGGTTGGGAAGAAGCAGTCTGATCCACATTCAATGGATAAAAATGGTAAGGAGTACTTGTTCTCTCTCTGTTAATAAGATGTTGAGGAAGTAGTTAGAGATGTTGAGTTACTAGAGAACAAGGGCTATACTTGTCTCGTATATATTCATGGCTGTTAGCATCTTAGAACTTTTGGTGATTGCTAAGATAGGCGTCTGGGAGTGGTGGTACTAGGGGTGTATTCCTCTGATCTCAGTGGACAGAAGGTGAGAGAGAGACTCATGTCCCAGGGTGCCCTCAGAACTGAAGTTGCTTTTGGGAGATATCCACATAGGAAATAATTTTGGAGCAGAGAAGGTGGAACTAGATTTTTTAGGAGTAAACAAATGCCTTAATTTAGGGAGGCAAAATATAGTAAGTAGCGTAGGCTCTCGAGTCAGATTCCTAAAACTTGTGATTCTGATTTTACCACTTGTAAAAGATATAACCATGGGCAGCCTGGTAACCTCTTTTTCTCCACTTAAATTTTGTTTATTTATTTATTTTTATATTTTTTAATTTGACCAGAGAGAGAGAAAGAAGGAAAGTGAGAAAGCAAGCCAGTGGGTCTGGGACTTGAACCATGGTTAGCCACATGAGAGTCCAGTGCCCTAACTACCACCTTAAGAGGCCTGATAAGTCTCTTAAGGCTCACTTTTTGACCTATAAATTAAGGAGAATGATAGGATCTATTCCATATGTATTGTGAGGCTTCAGTGAGTTAATCCATGTAAAACTCTTAGTTTGTACATGGTGGGTTGTAAACATTCAATGAATTTCAGCTGCTGATTATTTCTCTTTCTGTGGTCAGGCAGGGCCTCATCTATATTAACCTCTATGTCTTCACATTTACTGAATTACAATGTGCAAGTGATATGCCTAGGAATCTGTATTTTTGAAAAGTTCTCCATAGGAAGTCTCTCATACACATTTATGGTTAGTAGAAAAATAAAATAGGGTCATTACTGAATTAATGGAGGTGCAGAACTAATAAGATCTCTCCGCTCTTATTATTAACTAGTAAGTAAAGAGATAGGTATGGAAGGGTCCTGGCTTCATAGTCATCTTAACCTCTTCTCTATATAGACTCTGTAGGAAAATTCATAGCCAACCGATGATGGATGGGGTATGTCAGAGGGGAAAAGGACAGAGACTCAAGATGTTTGATTTTCTCCATCTAGGACAAACTGTGTCTCCTCAGTCTGTTCCAACTACAAGTCTTGAAGTAAAAAATGGAGTGAATTGTGAACACAGTCCTGTGGATTTAAGCAAGGTGAGCTGAAACATGTGAAGTAGGCTTCTAGGTCAAAGGTTATCTCTAGTGGAAACCAGAGTCCAGTTGCTAGAATCTGGATAACCCTGGTGTTTCACAACCCTTTCTCAAAGGCCAGAACCCCTTCTGCAAAAAGGAATGCCTATCTGCTCATGTCATTTCTCTTCTGCCCCAGTCTACATGAGGCCAGCTCATCAGTTTGTTCCTCCAGATTTAGCATACTGAAAACAGACTAGCTACCACGTCTTCCCTCACACAGAAGTCCTGATTTTTGTTCTTTTTGTGGTACCTGCTCTTAGAAGCTCCATCTCACATCCAAAAGTTTTATGAAAACATTATTTTTGTTACTGAATCCTAAACTACCTTGTGGAAAAACTCTTCTGAGGACTGTGCTGTGGTGGCAGTGTCTTATTGCAGTTTCTGGTCCAAGCCTTGGTCTCTTTGCCCTCAGCTTCTTGCTGTGGTCTGTCTTTAACATTGTCTTTCTAAAACACAGAAAATATCATGTCACTTTTCCTGCATATGAATTCCCTTTTTATTTAGAAAACCTGATACCTCTGACAAAGCATTTAAATATGTAGACAGGGAAAGAATGTGACTCAGTGGAAAGAGAGTGTGAGAGGAAAAGAGCATAGGAAATTTGGTGGGAAAATGTAAAGGTAAGACACTTGTGGGACACAGATAAGGTTTATTATTTGTTGATGAGGATGTGAATGGTGGTCTCAACTGGGCTGGTCTGAGGTGTAAATCATGCTGGGTAAAGTCTCTTCTCAATCCAAATGATGTATAGCGATTTAATGTATGAATAATAATAAAAAATAATAATAAATAAAATTAAATAATTCTTTAAAAGAAAAAAAAAGAATGTGACTCAGAGCTTCAAAAACATTTGTCTTTGAGAAAGGATGGTAAAATAGGATTGAAATCAGATTACCTGGATTTTTTTCTAGAATTATTTAATTTGATTTTATTCATCATTATCCTTTTTATTATTTTTTAATTTGACCAGAGAAAGAGAGAGAGAGAGAGTCAGAAAACAAGCTGCAGGTCTGGGACTCAAACTGTGGTCAGCCATGTGGGAATCCAACACCTTAACCACCATGCCACTTGCCAGCCCCAAATTACTTGGATTTAAATTCCAATTCAATATAAGTTCTGTGGTCCTGGGCAAGTCAACTTCACATTTTTGGATCTCAGTTGCTTCATTTATTTATGTAAAAGTGGGGAGTATTATGATCTGTCTTACCCACCTTACAGTGTTTTTGTAAGGATCAAATCAAATAGTATGAGAAAACACTTGCTAATTATTAAATGATATATGAATGTAAGGTATGATGAGGCTAACTAATGTTTTGGTGGTGGTTCCCAAATTGTCATAGTTCTTTTGGACTTTCAGGTAGACCTTCATTTCATGAAAAAAATTCCCACTGGGGCAGAGGCCTCAAATGTCCTGGTTGGAGAAGTGGATACTTTGGACCGCCCCATAGTTGCCTTTGTGAGGCTGTCTCCAGCTGTTCTTCTTTCAGGCCTGACAGAAGTGCCAATCCCAACAAGGTACAAGCAAAGATAAAACTCAGTGCATTCCTTCTAAAGTAGACATTTATTTGAGCACTGCTGGAAGAAACCAGCTGAAAGATTAGTTAATTTTGGAAATGGTGTTTAAAATTCAGCAGTGATCCCAGAAAAACTGGAATATGTTTGATTAACTGCCATGCAGAGGAGTTCTAAGACTTTTAAGGCTATGACTACACAGTACTTATAGCCTTGGGAATAGAAAACTGAAGAACATTCAAAGGGCCTAGTAAGAGCCAGTTGCTTATAATAGGAAGCCTGAGATGGACTATCTCAGTACTATAGAGCCATATCCCTGGGAAACATCTCCAGGCAAAGGTATTGGGGTCTCTTTTGACAATTCTGGCAATATTTGTATGGTTTGTAAATATGCCCACATTTGTTCAAAAGACCGTTTATGTGCTCTGAAGGTGCTGGTGCCAGTGATTCAGAGCTCCACTAATTACAGAGAATATTCAGATGTCCAGAATATAATTTAGACTCTTCCACAGAGTTTGATCATTATAACTTCCTTATCCCGCACCTCTCCCATCATTTTCTTAGAACAATGAATGGGATTCAGATGACCTTGGATTTGTAGTGTAATGCGATGTTTTGAAAAAGTGTCCTTTATATAGCTAGGAATTGTGTCTATGGAAACCCTAAGAAATATAACCACATTATATTGAATGATGTAATACAAAGAGCTTCCAAAGCCCATAGTGGAGCTATTAGGCCAAGTTAACTTAAAGCTCCATCATTAGTATGTCTCATTTTTTGAAAGGTACAGTAATGATATCTGAGAGATGAGAGAAACATTATGTTGTTTAGAGAAGAATAAGATGTCCTATCTTTATATTAACTTACTGTGTATTTCGCCAGATTTTTGTTTATCTTACTGGGTCCAGTAGGGAAGGGTCAGCAGTACCATGAGATTGGCAGGTCCATGGCCACCATCATGACAGATGAGGTATGTGCCACTTCTTTTCATTCATTCATTTCATAAATATTTATTGAGCTTTTACTCTGTGCCAGGCACTGTGCTGGTTGTTGGGGGTAAAATAATTACAATTTCATTATATACTGGGAAGCAGGTTAAGGCACTTCCCTGAAGCCTATTGTGGGAGGACTAAGCTCTCTAGGAGATTTTTCTTCCAATGTTATCATTCCCTTTTTGAGTTATCAGGGACAGAGAGAAATCTTTTTCTAGGAATATTATTATTGCCAAGTAGGAGGTAGAGTGGAATACATTAGGGCTGACTTAACTTTCTAGAGAAATGGCTAAGTACATCTAAGCTGATTAGATGAAGCGATCTCTTGTTCATATAAATGAGACAAGTTTGGATAAGGTCAGGGTGGACCTCGGAAAATGTCATGGGAATGTCTCAACTTGTCTGTAACCAAGGCAGCCAGACATTTTGGCAGTGTTTTGAACCCACAATACATACCCCAGTAAGAACTGTGCTGTTTATATAAGCTGCAAAGCAGAGCTTTCAAGACATACCTCTTAGCAGGCATGCGTAGGTGTGGATTAGATGCATTAGCTCTATTTGATTGGAAGACTCACTTCATGAAGGACCTTCATTAATAATTACATCCAGTTTTTCCAACAGTATTATCAAGAAAATTTTATGTACATCTTGCCTTTGTTGCACCTTTTGTAGAGATAATAAAATTGTACAACTTTAGAGTCATATTTTATCTCTTTTTATACTAGCAGGTATATGAATATGTAGTTCTTTTTGACCCATTTCATCTCCCAGTTAATCTTTTTTTTTTTTTTTTGAGAGGTTTTCGCTATAGGGCGCGTGCGCTCGCCAGACAGACAGAGACATAGAGACAGAAAGAGAGAAATCACCCCCCAGGGGGGATGGTCACGCCGCAATCCCTTCTCCTCCATTCTCCTCTTGGGATCTTGGGCACGCACGCACACGCGCCCGGCATGAGTTTTAAGCCACTGGGTCCGGGACACGAACCGCAGTCGACTACGTGGGAGTCCAGCGACATAGCCATTACGCTAACTGCTGGTTCCCCAGTTAATCTTTTTTAAAATCCTTTTATTTGTTCACTTCTCTAAGTTTTTTATATCTCAAATCACCATGATAGAGATAAAAATCAAGAGGTCGTATCCATCCCTCATCACATCCATTGGTGATTATATAAGTAAAGTTACTTTTAACTTTCCTGAGAATTTTTTCTTCTCTGTAGATTTTTCATGATGTTGCATATAAGGCAAAAGAACGAGATGATCTCCTGGCAGGCATTGACGAGTTCCTAGACCAGGTGACGGTGCTTCCTCCAGGGGAGTGGGACCCTTCGATTAGAATTGAACCACCCAAAAACGTCCCTTCCCAGGTAATGTATGCACATTAGCCAGTGGTGACTAGTGACACTAAGTGCCCACCATGGTCAAAGCAAAAACCATGTGGGTATATGCTAAATAAATCAAGACATGTTCTATTTTGGGGCACCTTAAATGAGAAAACAGTAATAAAAAGTGAATCTTTAGTAATGTAGATTGGCTCAATTGTGACAGGCTCAGTCAAGATTACCTGGGATGAATTTCAAGCCAGATTTTAAAGGATTGATGTGGAATAGCAGAATGGAGAAGGAAGAACATTTCTTGAGAGTGCAAAGTCATCAAAGGAGCAGGGCATGATGCATACTTTGCTGGCATTTTAGAGATGAGAACTCCCACTGTGTACTAGACAGCAGGCCAGGTACTTTGTGCATGTGAATTCAACCTTCCAGCAATAGCCTCCCCACCCCTAAAGGCATTGCTTTCCTTTGTTCTACAAATGAGGGATATAACTATCTTCTAGGGCAAGGTTTTAAGGTAAAGCAAGATTAAAAAGAGGCAGATTTAGTGGCTAGCAGGTGGCATAGTGGTTAAGGTGCTGGACTCCCACTTGGCCAATTGCCATTTGAATCCAGACTCAACAACCTGAAAATCACTCTGTGCATGTATGCGTACATGCCCAAAATCCCAGAAGGAGAATGGAGAAGGAGTAGCAGTACGACCATCCCTCCTGTGGGGTGATTTCTCAGTTTCCCTCTCACAGTCTTTCTCAGTCTCTCCCAATCAAGTGCACATGCCCTATGGCAAACACCTTTTTTAAAAAAGCAGATTTGAATATGGAACTTAGGTCATATCTGATGCCAAAGCCCCCACTTTTCTGTTTCTGGGGAAGGCTTAGAGAAGTAAAAATGATGTCTCTCATCCCACCCCCACCCCCAGGAAAGTAGATAAACTGCATTAATTCAGTAAATGCATTTGAAAGCTACAAATACTTGGGCATTTTTGGTTGCTTTTGGGTTATTCCAACATCACTTCCCTCTCCGCCCATCAGCAGGAAGCACTAATAGATATTGACTTTATTAATTTTGTGGTCTTCTATTAAAAGGAAAAAAGAAAAATGCCTGGAGTTCCAAATGGAAACGTTTGCCACATAGAACCAGAGCTACATGGGGGTCATAGTGGGCCAGAACTTCAACGCACTGGGCGGTAAGTTCTAGAATGTTTCACAGCTGGTGCTGCTTATTGGGCATAAGTTGTATAAGGAATGAGGCAGCCTCTGCTTTCAGACTTCTTCTCTGTAGTGGGAATTTACTGGCTGGAGATGACTTTTCAAATGGAATTGCTGACTATAATTATTATGAATTTGTCAAATATTGTATTCATTCATTCAAGTTTTTCAAACCACCTACCATGTTCTATCTCACCTCCAGTCCTTCCCACACATTGTTCCCTCTGATTTGACACTCTTCCCCTTCCTCATCTCCTGGCTAACTCCTACTTATCCTTTGTCTCAGTTTGGGTGCTGTTTCCCTTGAAAAGCCTTCCAAGACTATCCATAGATGAGGTTAGGTTTTCCTGCTATGGTATGTCACAGCATTGAGCTCTGACTTCTTCCTCCCCACTACCCCATTATAGTCCTTATCATACTGTATTATTATTGCTTGACTCATTACCCTTCCTGCTAGATGGTTGGCTTTAGAGGCCAGGTAATCCATTATGTTTCTAGCACCCCGAACAGAGTAGGCTCTCAATATCTGCTGAATGAATGAATACTGTTTAAGTGATGCCTGTTCTGTAGCATGAAATGGACCAGGTATGGATAAATATTGAGTGATCATTTTAGGTTAAGACATACTTTTAGGATAGGAAGCTGGGTACTACTCTAGGTGTGTGTGTCTCAGAATAAGCAATCTACTCTTCTAGGTCAAGATTTTAAGGACAAATGTCCAAGAAGGAGTTCTATGGTAGGTGAGGGAAGCAGGTCCCCAGAATAGTAGGTTTTATTCCTCAGGTAGTGAGGTGGTTGGTATGGCATTGAGAAGTGTCTCCAGATTATGGAAGAGGGTTGAGACTATGGCTCTGGCTCTGTAAGTAGTGCTAAGAAAGGTCTGCTGGGTGAGGATTCTTAGGGCATGACTCAAATCATGAAAGGGTACTTTTACACCTACTCCCTTGATCTCACCTTTTTCCTCCTTGGCTGAAGTTGCTTTCCTTCTTCTTCTTTCCTTAGTACTCTGCAGTGAAAACCCAGGGATTTTTTTGTTTTGTATTGTTTTGTTTTTAAAATCATGGAGAGTGACTCATTCTTCCACCCTTGAAATTCAGAGAAAAGCTGGGAGAGGTGACAGTGAAATAGGAGAGGATAGCATTTAACTAATAGTGTCCTGATGAGGGAGTGTGTTTTCTGGCTGGAGGAATTTATTTGAGGGTAGAAGAAGATAACTGTGCCCTGGGAGGAAACATTGGCAGAAAAGAGAAGTCCTTTGGATGGAGGGTCACTGAAGAGGAAGCAAATTTCAAGAGTGAGTGAAACTTTTTTCTTTTTTTTTAAGTTAGGAGAGGTCTAAATTGGTGGGGCAAACTGGTATTAAGAGGCAGTTCAAAGGTAGCATTTGTCCTTGAAATGGTTTTCAGGACTGAGACTGTCCAAAGAAGGTGTTTCTCCCCTGTCCCTACCCCCAGGAAAGGGTCTAGAATATAGTTCTGATATTTAAGAATTACAGTTTATCTTTTGGATATAAAGAATATCCACACCCTAGATTTAGGTTTGGAAGTAGAAGAATGGAGGGCAACAGTGTCTCCCCAAATAGATATCTGTGCAGAGGTGCAATTCCAGGTTTCTTTTGATGCCAAAGAAAATAGAATGAAGTAGGATCTCAGGCTTTTGAAGAGGATTGCTTATAGTCAATTCTACACGGGGGTTTGGGAGACCATTAGATTGGATCTCAATAGTTGTAAGATCTCAGAAATGGTGCCAAAGAAAATCTCATATTGCCAGGATCATCATATGCTTAATCACAAACTCCAAATATGTTAACTTACAAATTCAAATGGGATTTGGAGTTTTCCCATAATGTCTTGTGAGGAATTTCTGCAATTGACAAAGCCGAATGGAAACTTGGGGCTCTTTTTGGCATGAGTTATACTTCCTGTTCCTGAGCTCCTGATGTTTTCCTCAAAGCCCTTGGCAAAGGACCTCAAGACACAGTCTTTCACTCCTTGTGTCCTCTTAGGCCAGGGACCTAATGCCTACATCAGGGATAAGAGTTCCAGGCTAGCTCTAGCCCATTTCCCAGTTTCAAATTATGTAGTAGGCAAATGTGAACCTTCCCTATGGATGAATATATCCTAGAAGTTTCTGACCTTCCTGGACTGCACAGGCTGAAAACTCATTAGCCCAGATTTTATAGTTCTTCACACCATTAGTTGTGATTCGTTGAGATGCAAAAACTGCTTTAAGCATATCATGTAGCCCAACCTTGGGGCAAAACTTGGAGATTTAGAGGATACTATCTTATTGAAGGGAGAGAAAGTTGAAGAGAGAATAGAGTAGACTCTAAGAAGGTGGGAAAGGAGATAAAATTGAAAATGGTACTCTGAGTTCTGAGTATTACTGACCCTCCAGAATTGAGACAGTGCCTTGCACTTCCCTGGTGTTGATACATGTAGGGATGCCATGTGTAACAAAGAGTATTACCAGAGTACTTAGACCAGCAGCTCCACAGCAAGGAGGATACTCTCAAAAGGGGTTTTCCAGGATAGATTCATGTCACTTTTGGGAAGGGTTCATGAAAACAAGAATCAGGAGCTGCTATCTCGATGATCCCCCTCACACTCTAAACAGGTTTCTTCCAAAGCACACCAGACAAATGGATGGCTGGCCTGTCCCTAAAGCCCTCCAGGGAAGGGCTCCCTAAGTCAGTGCTCCAGAGCCTAGTGACCCTCTACACGGGTAAGTCCTTTCTTGCATCAAGCTTAAATTCATATCCCAATGTGCCTCCTGCCCACAAAAACTTGAACATCAAGGACAGTGTTGAAAGAAAAAGGGAGTCTCAAATATGGAAAGAAGCACCCATGTCTGATAATTCTCTATAGTAGATGTGTAATTATGTCCTGATTTTATGCATGAATGAAGTATAAGCTGACTCTATGAATAATATTCAGAAATTATTTAATTAATTTATAGTTTACCTTCAATGTGAACCTCAGATCTTCCTCCCACCTACTTCCTTCCTTCCTTCCTTCCTTCCTTCCTTCCTTCCTTCCTTCCTCTCTCTCTTCCTCCCTCCCTCCCTCCCCTCCTTCCTTCCTTCAGAGGGAGAAAAAGGAGTAACAGGCAGGTACCCTTAACCCTCAAAGCCCTCAACAGGGCCTTCATGATGCAGTCCCACATGCAGCCAGCTGGGATCACAGGCATGCCCGTTGGTGTTTCCAGAATGTTCAGGTAGATTCCAGATGCAAACCCAGAGCCTTTCCACGTGGTCTTCAGCATTGTGTAACAGCACCCCTACTGCTGGGCCACAGCTGGACCTCCCCCACCTTTTAGTCACCACTAGGCAGATAGATGTCCTTCCTTTCTATGGAGTCTCATAAATTCATTTCATATAAATCATTTGTCTGTTGCTCACAGACACTTCTCTCTGAAGACAAGTCCTGTGTCCAGGGGTTGACCAATCAGCAACTCAGATGGCCTCAGTGGGGATGAGGCTCATTATTGCAGAAGATTCTTCTCTCAGAATAATACCCTTCAGAGAAGGTTATTGGTGATGAAAAGGTGATATTCACATGGTAATAAGATGTTGTGTTGGCAAGAACCCAGAAATACTTGAATCTTGCCCCAAACTAATCACTACTGTCTGTTAGGTCCTTGAAAGGCTATTTACCCAGAGGAGAAAGCAAGACAAAGTGACATTTTATAAGCTAGAGCCTTGGCCCTGATCTTAGAGGCAAAACTTTTGTGATCTAGGTTGGACTTTCTAGGTAGTTACTTTACCGAAGCTAGTTTTTCCAGACAGGTAAAACTGAGGCAGGTCACAAGGATGGCTTTGAGTCTCTCCCCTACACCCAGATCCAAACTGTGATGTCACTGCTGTAAGTTAAGGAAAGATGAATCCCAAATACACCCATCAAAACCAGAGCAAAAGAGCAAGTGGTTAAGACAAAACAGTCTCTACCCTGTACCTACTTGCACACCCATTGTATCTAGTTAGGTAGGAGAAGATTCAAGTGGAGAGAGAAGGCTGGCTGGATCTTCTCCCCTGGCATGCAGGTCCTAGGCCAACTCTGACTCCCTCAGACTTCTGGGCAAGAGAAGGGAAGAGAGCTGGCCAAACCTCCATCTGTGAGGGAGTAGCTTGTTTTTCTGTTTTATCTTATTATAGAAACGTTCAAGCATATACTAAAAAAAGAAAGAGAATAGTATAATGAACCCCCATGCACCCCTCAACTGTTACCAACATTTTGCCAATCTATTTCACCTATTTCTTGACACTTAATTTTATTTTTGTATTTTTCATATTGTTTTAAACCAAATCACAGACATCATACCTTTTTACCTGTAAATACTTCGGTACGTATCTCTGATAATGACATCTTTAAGTAAAAAATAATTTATCATGCCATTCTTAAATCTAACAAAATTAATAATGATTTCTTAAATCATCTAATTCCAGTCCATCTTAAATTTTTCTGTGGTTGTCCTAACAACCTCTTTTCAGAGTTCATTTGTCTAACATAGAAACCAATCAAGGTTTGCATTTGGTTTTTATGTTACCGTTCTACAATAGCCCAGTTTCTTTCTTTCTTTTTTTAAAAGAATGATTTCATTTAACTTTATGTATTATTATTATTATTACTATTTTCTAGTTTGATCAGAGACA